TATGCGCTTATTATTCATGAAGCTCTTATAAGTTATAATGCACTAGATGGCACTGTACACACCGAATATATGCCATTGTAATTCATATACTCTAATTTACTGTATCCAAACTTATACCTGTGTTCACTTTTAACAAAAATAAAAAGATGTAACCTTTTTTAAATAAAAAACATTTAAACTATGTATATTGTTTTATTTATATTTTAATCACAGATAGATAGATAGATAGATATATTATATAAGTAATCGCTAATCCATTTCGTCATCTGCCTCATCATCAGCCTCATCGTCTGCATCTTCATCTAAACCATGTTTACTCCTTATTTGCGGGGTGATGTATGGTAAGGCCTCGTTCAAAAAGCGTTTCAAACTTAGGGTAACCATCTTCTCACAGAATGTATCCAAGTCCAGCTCACATGCATTATATTCGCAGCAAAGACTGCTGCCTTTACAGTATTTCTCATAACAATCGTTTTGATAGGCTACAGCTTCTGGAAACAGCCATACCTCAGCGTCGTAATTGATGGAGTGTAATGCATCCATCGCCAGTGCGTCCAGTTCCTTTCCAAGTCTGCTTATTGCTGATTCTATGTCGATGGCTTTAGGCCAGTGCTCTTCGGAATACATCATCCACATATCGAAATAATCTGAAACAATATTTGGCCGTTATTAAATGAACAAATATGGGCCAAGTTATACTTACAATAAAATTGTAGAAATTCTTAATGAAATATTGTGTTTATTAGATATCTATATGTGATTAAAAGTAAAAAAATATTTACAGTGACTCTACCATGGATTTAACTAATTGATTGCTGGCCAACTAGATCGATTCTTATATGAGACCTAGTAGTTGAGTTGTAACACGGCTTTTCCCCTAAATAGACCATGGCATATTGACCAGTAGAATCATTTATCATAGCAATGACTTCGGATGGCATTATTTCAAAAATGCGCCTCGGTAACCAACACTGGAAAAGCTCCAGCGAATGTCGATCAATTAAATGAATAAGTAAACATTTACCATACCTGGTATCTTTGACCATTATCGTTTTAATAATATAAAGTTGACCTATAACCAATGACTTTAGTTCTCTTTGGTCCAATATTGTGGGCCAGTCTCCAAGTAATTTATTAACCGCATCAATTTGCGTTTGAGCCATAGTAGAATACAAATAAATATTTTTTTACCTGAATAATACACACACAATACTACACTTGGTAACTATTTGGAACTTGTAGACCTTTTAAATTTCACGATTTTAAACTGATTTTATTTGGATGCGGATCCTAGTATATATCCTCTAGAAAATGCCCCCACTTTTTCTCAGCCCTACCCCGATATTTCGGTTAAGCGCGACCGTCTCTAACGCAGGCTAAGCACTCTAGGCACGACGGTCGAGAGTTAAGGACCTACTGCCAACAGTAATCACTAGGAGGCACTTAGATAACATTCATTACACTACATTGCATACAGTAATTACTACCTAAGGTGTACTTACACTTTAATATGTATGGAGTAATGAGATGTATACCCTGTGGGTAATTGGGAGGTACTTATTATGCAATTACAATCATTACAGTATGGCGTGTACATGGTAATTGGGAGGTACTTACTGTGCAATTGCACTTATTACAGTACACGATGTAATTGGGTGGTACTTACTGTGCAATTGCACTTATTACAGTACATGATGTAATTGGGAGGTACTTGCTAATTGCGCGAAGGGTGGGGGGTACTTAGGATAATTACTAATTACCCAATTACCTCTCTCTGTACCTCTTTCTCATTTCCAGAACCGGCCAATTACATCTACTCCTGGCGGATGACAAAAGGTAATTGATGGCAGGGGGGATCTGGTGATTTTTTCGAGTGGGGTTTGTGTGTATTTGGGGTTTGATATTATTTTGTTGCCCCTCATCCGTTGTCGGATGAGTGTCTGCAGTATTTGTGGGTTTAACATTAGTGAGGGGATGGACCTTGTTTGGCTTGGGTATAGGGATGGTGGTGACAATGGTTTTGGGGATGGAGTTTGTTATTTTAGGTTAGTATTTTGGGAGTCCCTGATCCAACTAGTGTGAGGCAGTCTCACCACCCAAGGGCTATTAACTCCGGCAATATGATGACTTTGGCCCTACCCAGACAGCACACCAAATCCTTTGGATATCTACTGAACATCCCAATATCCACTGAATGTCCAGTCCATGGTAGATATCTATTTTATATCCATGAGATGTAATTTATAGACATGCAAATGTCCATAAATAATAGTAATTATATAGCAAATTATTAAAAAATTACGCCATTGTGCTCGCCATTGTGGCTAATAGTACCGTTCAGATATTTAAAATTAATTTTTTTAAGGTGTATTCAATATCCCATGAACATCCACTAAATATATCAAAGTCTAGGCGCGAACGCAAACCATCGTGGATATCCACTAGATATTATTTGATTCTGCTTACTAAGTATAGATGGCGATATCACTTTCGCATCTACTCATGCTCGACCCGCCGTAATTGAGTTCGATCGAAAGTTGTGTCCTAATCAGACTCCATTAGAGACTGGAGTCGAGAATTTCCATTTATTGCTGAAGAGTCCTAATAAGGATGACTTTCTTTTTAGTGGGCAAAATCAATGGCAGAGTGTTGAAAATATTTTTTATCTCTGCTATTTTCTTTCGACGTTATTCAATAATCATTGGTTACTTATGAACCTCTACTAAAGATACACATAAAATATTTTGCTGAATATCCGAATATCTTCTATATTCTGGGATATAGACGGACATTTGGTTGGATATCCATATTGGATGTATTGAATATCCACAAAATATATTCTGTGGATATCTCTGGGATTTCTTGTATTTTCTGGAAGATACCCATTAGATATTTTGCTGAATATCCATTAGGATATCTTTTTATATTCTGGATATAGACGGACATTTGGATATCCATATTAGATCCACGGAATATTTCTGATATCCTGTGGATATATTGGATATCCACAAAAGATATTCTGTGGATATCTCTGGGATTTGGTGTGTTGTCTGGGTAGCCGGATGACGTTCGTTAGTTTTTTATACTTTTAGGTCCTGTAGTCGTCTATTGTTGGCACTTACTGTAAGAAATGGGATTAATTTGTCAATATTTATTAAACTCACTCGATTACTAGTCTAGACGTCCGGTCATACTCTAATCGCTTAAGTCATTCTCTGCCTTATTTTGGCCTTTTACGACGTACATTTTCCTGTTACCAACAATATTTGATGAACTGAGTAAATCTCCGAAACCCCCTATATAGATACTCCTATCGAAGAAACCGTTGTCCATACTAAGTTATGTTCTAGAAAATACCGGAGGCAGCAGTCTCTTATAATTGTGGATCCGCCAACGTATGTTCTGGTTCTAGTAGAAGGACGTCTAGAATTTTCGCAGCAAAGTTCTGGCGAATACACGAACATTCGAGAAATACCACTTAAATATGTATAAATGGACTATTTTGATGTTGGAGCGGTGTGTGAAATTCTTTTGTCATCTCCAACTTTCGTTCTCGCATCCTAGATACAAAAGTAACATTTTTTTTGAAATAGCTCATTTTATGTAATATTGTTGTGCCTCTATCATGCAGCATGTACTAAAAGCCATTATTGTTAAATCTAGACCGTCCTTGGCAAACTAAATAAGGAAAATATGTTTAAAAAGGTTTATCCTAAGGAGACTTATCTAGAATTCATCATATTAAAAAATTATCAATTTTCACCAACTACTTCAAAAATTTAGGGAGGTCTTTTACATGACTCGTTTCTCTGAATTTTTTCTCAATTTTACTAACTGTGGGTTGTTAAATTGGTTCTCGGTTGGAATACCTATTTATTATTAAATACATTACATATACTTCTTTCTAAGTCCTTGCATTATTTAAATTGGTTAGTGTGACTACGGCATGATCATGCACAGACCTTCGGAGGTCTGTGCTTATAGACAGTCAGATAGTGACAGGTTTAAGTGCCCCATTTTCTTATACAAGCCTCTAGGATGTTTGAAAAGAACATCGATTATGAGTAGAATGAAAGGAAATTTACTAGTGGCTCTTGGGGATAATATATGGATAATTCGATTTTGTTCACTAATTGAATAACTAATAGAACTAGGCTTCGGAAAACCAAAGACTTTAATGTTGCAAGTGGTTGAAATAAGGGCGTTATCTTGAAAGGATAAATTAATATTTTAACCGATTTTTTCACACAATCCCATCGAATATTGCCGCGATTAGGGTTTTTATGGTTCCCTAAACGAGCTGAGGGGTTGATTAAAGCTAGATGGTAGAACTTTAATAAAACATAATAATAATTGAAATTATTTATTTACTAAGTAAATTATTGTTTTAAATAAAGAAAAAGACAATCTTCATTGTTTAATAATAAAAATAACATTAATGAGGTACTTACCAAGGGTACACCATTCTAAGAGGGATGGTGCTTGTGTCGCTCTTCAAAACCAAGTGATAATCTTTAATATTTTATAAAGAAAGTTCGGATTCATGCACTTTTGCTTGATCAGGTAATTCGTTGAACCGCGTTTACTGCTGTCTTTGCAAGTTCAACGAATTTCCATAAAAGTATCAATTAATTAAGAAACATGAATTTATACTTCCTCTTTAGAAATAATATCTTTAAATAAACTAAACAATGAATGTGAAAAATAAAAATAATAATTTAATATTATGAGATAAATATTTTTTAATAAATGAATCATTATTTAACTATTTTACCTATAGTACATGAACCCTAAATATATTATTTGACAATATATGAAAACGTACATCGTCACTAGTCCGAAAAACATATTGGCTTGAATGACCCGAATAGATAAGTGTATTTTGGGGTCGGAAAATATTTCTATTGCTAATTTCATTACTCATTGTCAGTGACAGCCACCAAATGTATTTTTGGGTATCATAATTAATACATATGACAAAAATAATTAATAATTTGTGTATTGGTAAAAATGCATTATTTAGACATATGAATAGGGAAAATACCTTTCAAATAAATGATATACTGTAACACCCACATTTATATTTAAAAAAATGTATCGACACGTCATCACACTCACACAGATGACGTCAACAACAAAAAGGTAATTTGACGAAACAGTCGAAACACTTGTTTACAAATTAAAATGTAAATCAATGTGAGTTGCCTATATTCAGTTTCTCAATAGCACAGGTTGTTGTATTTCTTAAACAGGTTTAATTCCATATATAAGAAGACGTCCAATTTAACCAGCAATTTTGACATTTCACATTTCAGTTGTCAATTGTCAGTCTTTAACAACAAGTGTAATTTCTGAACACGTGAATTTGTATTGCACGATCTTAAAAAATAACTTTTATTAATAAAAATGTCTATACAAGATAAAGTTTTGATGCGCAAAATAAAGAAACGTGAAAAGCAGAAATTGAAATTGGTCCAGAAAAAGGAAGCAGAAAAGAAAGAAGGTAAAATGCTCTTAGAAAAATTGGTTCCAACAGTTTTAAACATTTTAACGTTTTAGGCGAAGAACAATTGGATTTAGAAGTAGGAAAAGGCGTTAAACGACTTCCAGACGTTGAAGAAGGACCAGCAAAAAGTATTATTATTATTATTATATGAATAAAATTGTTTCTGTACTTACTCATTTGCCTGCTTTATTTTAGAAAAGAAAAAGAAAAACAAGAAGAAAAAAGAGAAAACGTTTGACGAAGATGATTCCGAAGAAGATGAGAAGGAGCTTGAGATAGAGGAAGAGATAACTTCGGAAGAAACCTCAGATTTAGGAAATAAATGTAATAATTCACAAAATACCTACTTACACATAAAACTTCGTTCAATTCACGATGTGTTCAACTTTAACATAAACCAAGCAGAAAGTCCGCAGTTATTTATAAACTTCAGTTGTTGACATTCGTGTTCAGTTGACATTGAGAGATGATCAACTTTTATGTTCAATGCAAAAGTCGAGTCAATGAAAAACACGTATATGGTCATTTGAAGACGCATGGGCCAACACGATCTTCAAATGACATAGATTTGTTTTGGATACGAAATTTGATAAACCTGCAGTTCAGGTCGTCGCTTGTTAGGCATGCACCGGCATACTTGGATCATTAATTTTATCTTGAAATTTTAGGGGCAATGAATATCTGTGCAAAATATTCTAAAATTATAGAATATTTTTATCCATTTCCAAACATTTTCCTTGTCATCCAAATTATAATTCAATATTCCAGTGAATATAAGGCTGATGCATGCACAATTTGTGGAGACATAAACAGCAGGATTTCATTATTTTATAACAAACACCAACTACAAATATAATCAAAACATAATCACAATGAAATATAATTATTTTGTGATTGTCTTGTCAAATCGAATGTCAGGACCAACCCAGATTCGCAGTGTTGAACAAAATGACTACAACTTTATAAATTGGGTTCCAGCACAAACTCACTAACGCGAGCATGTTGTGAACTGAACGCCTATTGAACGAAGTTTATAAATCCAGCCTGTGTCTTAATTAATTTTAATAAGTAAATTATTTTCCTTTAATCTGAACCATTTTTATCAAATAGTATTCTCAATGTTTTAATGATGACCCAAAGGCGAATACAAATTTTCCTCAAGTACTTGAGTTGAGGATAATGAGTACAATAAATAATACTGATTTTCTTTTCATTTTTCTCTTTTTTTTTGCATGTACCATATTCATTTTTAACTAAAATGTTTTATTTCAGTACCAGGTTCAAGTGCAACTTTGGAAATTTTAAGCAACAGCTCATTTGAATCCCTCAAAGATAAAATATGTGAAAATACACTGAAAGCTATTGCTGATATGGGATTTACAACTATGACAGAGATTCAAGCTAGATCTATTCCAGCCTTGTTGGAAGGAAGAGATTTGGTAGGAGCGGCAAAAACTGGATCTGGAAAGACTTTGGCATTTCTTATTCCCACTGTTGATCTTATATACAAGTTGAAGTTTATGCCAAGAAATGGTAACGGTTTATTGATACTTAAAACATTTAATTTCTTCTGATCATGGTTTCCTAAATGTGAACACACAAGTATTTCTTTTATTTCTATTAAACAAAATCATGATTTAGTACACTGAACTACTTTACTACTGTCCTAGCAAGTAAAGTCATATCTGAAAATTGTTGTTTTGAAATAATCGAGTTTTTAACTATTTTTTGCAGATATATTTAATTATCTTCTACACCTTTTTTGTGTAACTCTTTAACGTTTTAGTACCCTTATGATTAGGGATCTACCGATATCGGCCTTCTTGTCCGATATCGTTATCGGCCGATATGTAGAGTGCCTATATCGGTATCGTCCTAATAAAAATATCTATTAATTATTTTAATTGCTGAGAATTTTTTAAAGAAATTAAAACAATATTTTTATTTAGAATTAAAAAAAAACATTTAAAATCTAAAAGAAAAAGATTAAGTTACAAAAACATATATTTTTTTAATATTTAAAGTCATGTTTTGGTACGTTAAAATGAAACAAAATTAAACTTTCTGCTTTTTTGAGGTTATACAATTTCTTCTGCTTTCATATACAGGGTAATTCATTAAGAGTATCTCAAAATATCTTGAAGTAGAATTTTTTTGAAAGAAAGGCAAAAACATGTCAATTTTAATTTCAAGGGGGACACTTCAACTGTAATGTCATTCCTCTCCCCTCCCTCAATTTAACCAATACAATTTAAATACAGAAAATATCAAGTATGACACATCACCAAAAATATATTTTTCTGGGAAATTCAGCAATATGACTGTTTACATTTTAACGCCCCCTCTAGCAAGATAAACTGTTACGTATTGTAAAGTGTGACACTTCATTTATAAGTAAATTTTATTAGTAATTTTATTTTGTTGCAAGTGCAATATGGAATGATCACATTCAAGATCTGACAAACAAAATTAGGCACTTACTACCAAAATTTTATACTATTTGTAAAATCTTATCTAAAAAACTACTTATACAAATTTATAAATATTTAGTAGAAACTCTCCTAAGATATGGTATCATTGCCTGGGGGGGGGGGGGGGGGTACTCTATGACAATAATGTATTAAATCAATTGAATGTAATTCAAAACTATATTTTGAGTGTAATATTTTTTAAAGACAGGCTGTTTACAACTAGCCTATTATATTTATTTATTTATTTATTTATTTATTTATTTATTTATTTATTTATTTATTTATTTATTTATTTATTTATTTATTTATTTATATTTATTTATATTTATTTATTTATATTTATTTATTTATATTTATTTATTTATTTATTTATTTATTTATTTATTTATTTATTTAATTATTTACGGGAAAACCCCATTTTACAATAAACAATATAAAAATATATTTTATATGCACAAATACAAAATAAAAAACAACATCAAAAATTGTATCATGTGAAACATATGATTAAAACATTTGATTAGCAAGGCTGACAATAACAGTACTTTCAAGTGTCATTAAGAAAGTGGTTAGCAATACTTCTTTTAAATGAAGGATATGAGGAACCAAAAAAATCCAAGTCTATTTCTATACTGTTAGCACTCCTAACCAATCGTTTTGATGGCCTATAAAAGCCGTAATTTTGTCTATGGTGTCTAATAAAAAAAGTTTCATTGCTCTGGTTGCACTATTAATTTTAAGACCAATTTTAAATAAAATATCAGGAGAATATATTGACCCAGACAAAAGTTTGAATAGGAAGCATAGATCTAATCGAGTTCTCCGGTTCTGCAAAGTTGTGATTTCTAATCTGGAACATAGGTTAGCATAATCATAATCGTAATTATTTATACGCACTCCTAATTTATAATCAAGATATCCTAAATATTCGATGTCTTTACTACCTTAGCAACTGTATATATGTCTTTAAATCTAAAAACAAAAATTACATTATCACTACTAAAGACGACATAATCTTAAGACCATGATCATAGTACCATTTAGAAGACATGATACCAACCAGAGATTTACTACAATCATGGCGCCAAAAATTTTCAGCATACTACCATTCAAAACTCGAACCACAATTGGGTATAAAAGGTTTGTCAGCAGTGTAAAATTTTTATTTTTGAGAAAAGAGCATACGTTGCTTACCTTTTTTAGTTCTGTAAGTATATAAATTGTTATTTTATTGTATGTTCTTCTTTTTCTTTTTTTTTTGCCATTGATAACTACCTACCATAATATATAGTTCAGTAACTTTAAATCAAATCATTATATATTTTACATTTCGGTCTTGCACAGACAAGTGTTAAGTCACTTAGGTGCATTTATTTGTACAAGCTTAAGTATTTTGTTAATATTATGTTATGTTATCATATCATGCATGTATATTGTATATATAATAGATATAAATGTTATGTGGTGCATTGGATTACTAATAAAATTAGCTTTTAAATGAAGTGTCACACATTTTACTATACGTAACAGTTTTTATCCTGATAGATGAAAAGTAACGCCAAGAAGTCATATTACTGAATTTTCCCTACCTTTTCGATGATACTTTGTACTTTCCCTATTTAAATGTATTGATGAGAGTGACGGAGTGGTGAGAAATTACTCTACAGTTAAGGATATTATAGAAAGGTGTCTCCCTTGAAATAAAAATCGACCTGTTTTTGCTATCTACTTAAAGATAAACCAGTCTTAATGAATCGCCCTATACAATACCAGCTGAAGAGAATAGCTCTTCACTAGCCACACTACTTGGTGGGGGTGATAAGTATATTATTGCACATTTGTATTTATAATAGTAGAAAAATGTCTTATTTTTGTGTCCACCAAATCCAAGGATCTTCATTTTTGATATTTTCTCTAATTTGATGTAAATTTTAAGGTCACTTTCAATTTTATTTCCTTACTCTCATACCTGTAAGTTCTTCAAAGATATTCCAAAACAAACCTTGAGAAATTGAGTCAGGGACGTTGTTTTAAACCTCTTGGTTTACCTGATTTGATGCGAGTTTTGCTAAAGGGACATTCTCAATCAGTCAAATTTTCCCAAGTTTTATAGTTAAATATTCATAATCAAAATGTATCGGCCATGCGTGTATCGATATTGGTCACAAAAAATCATATCGGTCAATCCCTACTTACATTAGAAGATTTTATTTACATATTAAAAATGTATCTACATGTCAAAACTAATTAGTATATACAACACTACCGAGATAATATCCTTTCGTGCGGGTCCAGGGGACCGAGGAGGACATGTCCACCTATAATAATCATTTTTGATTTCTATTGGAAATATTTCACCCTCACTCCTTACCGTTTCTGTATTATTGAGGAATTTAGGTTCTTTTTGGAATCGGTAATGGGAAATGGGTAGGGATTTGTCGCGTTTTAGTTATGGTTTTTGTTCCCTGAAAAAGCTAGAAAAAACAGGGTTGTCCTTGTATGTAAAGTCTTAGGTTTTTTAGTATACCCCACAGGCAGAGTGGTCTTTGTATCTTCCATCGAAGCAACACTCGCGGATGGCCGATCCACCGATCATCTTTCACATTATCGGGAAGGCACCGCTTGTAGAATTTTTCGGCTGCATCAAGTATATAGTCTTTGATGAGTGGAGAGTCTCTGTCTGTATGTGCATGTCGGCTATTTAGGCATAGCGGTCGTATCCCAAATCTAGCCGAAGACATCTGTTTTGAGCTAGTTGTAATTTGGTGAAGTGCGTATTTGCCATGGAGCCAAACACCGGGCATCCATATGTCAGGATTGGTCTCAGAATAGTTTTGAATATTAGTAGTTTGTTTGACAGGGTGACTCTGCTCCTCCTATTTAATATAGGATAGAGTGTCTTAATGGCGATGTGGTTTTTTGCCACCCTGTCTTTTATGTGGAGATCAAATGTCAATCCCCTATCTAACTGAAAACCCAGATATTTCATCCTGTCCCCTGTGTGTATGTTTTAATCTTGGATTTTTAGGGGGATATGGATACCCCTCGATCTTCTTTTTGTAATGAGCATACTCTCAGTTTTTGCAGGGTTGATTCTCATTTTGTTTTTAGAGTATCAACCTCCTGTTTATATGGATGTCCATGGTTCTTGTTGCGCTTTCGGCAGAGTGATTGCTTTTAAACAAACAGATGTCATCGGCGTATAGTGCCGTTTGTACCCCATTATGTCCCATGGGAATGTCATGGGTCATAATCGAGTACAAGTGAGGCGACAATACTGAACCCTGGGGTACTCCCGCCAGTGCTGAGTAGGGTCCTGTAGTTGTGTTGTTTATTTTGATATTGAAACGTCTGTTAGTTATGTAAGAGTGTATTATTTTTACAACGTGAAGGGGAAACTTATTCACAAGCATTTTATGAATTAAACCACAGGTCCAGACGGAGTCAAAAGCTTTTTCGCTATCAAGTGCCACCAGCACCGTTTGCTTATTGATGTTTGTCGCCTCTTTGGCACTATGTACGATCCGGATGATCTCTGCAACGGTGCTGTGTCCACTTCTGAACCCGTACTGTTCCTGTGGGATAAGTCGTAGTTGTTCTTCTATTTTGTTAAGTCTATTTAAAATGATTTTGTCAACTATTTTTGAAATTGTATTTAACAGCGAGATGGGCCTATAACTGTCAATTCTGTTAGGATTTTTACCCGCTTTTGCTATGGGTATAATATTTGCAATCTTCAGGCAGCTAGGGTAATATTGCAGCCTGAAAATTGCATTTATTATGTAGTTTAGTTATACAACCCCCTCTTTAGGTAAATTTTTAAGGAGTATATTGCTAATGTCATCTGTGCCCGGAGCTTTCCTGTTTTTGGGGAACTTAATTGTTTCCCGATCTCTTTAGGAGAGGTGTAGAATGATTGTGGAACATGTACCGGATCCATCGCCCCTAATTCATTTACCATTTGCTCGATAATATTCTGTTGGTTATTATATATTTGATCATTTCTAAAATTTGCTTGAAAGTATTCGCCGAAGGCTTGAGCTTTCTCGTTGTATGTTGTAAGTGTATTTTGTCCTTGTTTCAGTGTAGGAAGTTGTGAAGAGGGTTTTTTATATCTTCTCACAACCCCCCACAAAGAATTGTCCCTCGGATTGATTTCAGACAGGGTTTTTTGCCAAATTTTGTTACGGTGGTCGTTGATTTCTTTATTTATATATTTCGCAATGTCCATTAATCTCACCCTGTCTTCATCTCTCCTGTGTTGCTGCCTCCTTTTGCGGATTTAATTTTTGTTAGAAATAAGGTCTATGATTTCAGGTGGCAGTTTGTCTTTGTGTTGTGGTGTTATTTTGATTTTTGTCGAGTCGTCTCTAGCTTTTTGTACGACTGTTATGAATTCATGTGTTATTTGCTCTAAGAGTTGTGTGTTGGTTATGTTATTGTTTAACGTTAATGTTTGTTCGATTTTTTGGCTGTATTTGTTCCAGTTTGTCGTTTTGTAATCATAGTATTGTTTCTGTCTTCTGTTAATTTTCTGTGTTCTGTTAATTTTCTGTGTGGTTCGTATTTCCAAGTACACTGGATCGTGATCTGAATTTAGTGTGCTGATTGTTCTGATGTTTTGCACATCAGCTATGTATTTTGTGACTGCGATGTCCAGTGTACTTGGGGTGCCCCCGTTGTATGGTGTGCATGTAGGTTCGTCCGTGTAGTGTATTAGTAGCTCGTTATCTTCGGCGAAGTCTCTCAACAAATTACTTGCGGGGTTGGCGTGGATACAGTTCGCGTCCCACTCGGGATGTTTACAATTTAAGTCCCCAGCTAGAAAAACTCTTATTACCTTTTGACATTAGCGCATGCATGTCTCCATTTGAGAGTTTCCTTGCCGGGGGGTTGTACACTCCTATGATGATATAGTTACAGCATTTAATGATCCCTACTTACGATGCAATTAGGACATTCCGTTTTGGTATCAAGAAAGATAAAATGTAGACATACGCAAAGAGATAAAAAAACTGCTAATTTTGCAGATATCACCTTCTTGATAGGACAGCAGTTTATAAATAAAAATAATTTTTACATCATGACTTTAAGAGCAAACCAGACCTCTCGCGAAAGCGAACATGTTGGATTTTCTAATATAACATTGTATTTATATGCATGCCACTGGGAATACTTTGTGATATTATGTGTCTTGAGAATATTGAGAGCTTTAAATTTGAGCAACGATAATGCAGCACTCTACAGAGACGTTTAAGAAAAAAGGTGGGAAATCATCTTATTTAAAATTTGCTAGATATTTATTAAAACAAAAAGCAAATTTCCATAGATTTAATACAGAATGGCGCGAAAATGTTTTTTTTATTTTAAAAATTTTTCAAATAAATACTTTTCAAAGGTTTACAAAAAAATCAAGATTTCTCCACCTTAAATTTTGTTATTGTTGGTATTTTCTGAAAGTTTCACAAAAAACGAAAGGCTCGGAATAAATACAAAATTTTCAAGGTGTTCGGTTTGCTCTTAATCCGGAGGCCACTGATAAAAGTTTTATATTGGCTCCTAAAAATTATTTAATTTCTGAAAATAATATATTATGTATTTGTAATTATTATTCTTTCTCCCCACTTTGCACCTGTTGGAGAAAATTATTCCCAGTTTACTATCCAAATATTGTTTTTAAGTGTTAAAAAAAATGATTATAATGTCTCACTTTCCTAGCAATAGTGTAATAACTACCAAAAGTAAAATTTTACAGGAGTGCCAAAAATATAAATATGAAATTTTAAATGTTAATAATAACAAAGTTGTTATATTTGTGCGATTTTTAATGATACCAGAAAAAATATGGCTAAAATATACTTTTTCTAATTATTATTTTTTTAAATTAAAGGTGATTAAAAAAATACTTCTTATTACAGTCTTCTACCAAAAATGTTTTTCAATTTTTAATTTCAGTTTAAATAATTTATATACGAAATGTAATTTTTATTTAAAAATTTATTAACAAAATACCAATCATACATCAATAAGAACGATATTTAAAATATAGAATCATAACATGTTGTATATTTTTATATGTAACACTATTATATTTGAAAATAATAATATTTGTCTATTGTTTCCCAAGAAGACAGTAATAAAATTGTAACTTATTACGCTTTTAATCGGGGACGCTCTAGGTTTAAGAAAAAATACCGTAGTAACTCACAAACACAACTGTTTTCGTCGGAAATTTTCGGCATACTGGCTCCAAAGAAGAGTGCCACTTGCGTCATCTGGGATGAAATGGTAAAAGCTATGATGATGTAGTTTTCATCGCAGAAAGATTATTAGGTTTAGTACATAAAAGAAAATTGAAAATTTTGTGGTTATTACACTATTGTTCGGGACGTGCGATGTGAACTATCAATACTGTTTGCAAAAAAGTAGTAATAAAAATAATATATACTAATTCATAATAATATTCAAATTAATATAATTATGGTATTTGGTGCAAAATATTATATACTATGTTAAAATTATTATAATAAAATTCATGATAGGTTTGTTTTTTAATTAAACATAGGATGGACTGCAGGTAGGTATTGTGGTTTTATATAAATAAAACTTATTCTTAAAGGAAACTCATTTGCAAAACTTCTGATTTAAGTATTTGTTGAAAACTTTTCACCTTTCTATTTTTCAGTAATGGGAATAAATGAGGGGATACATTTGACGATTCAAGTCTTTTATGCATTATTTTGTATACATGAACCTTTACTATTTTCTAAGTAGTTGGTATTATATTCCATACTTTATCGCAAAAAACTTTACCTGCCAATGTTTGCACATGAAATATATTTTATTGTAAATTTGTTTCTGGATTGTAATGGCAGAATTATACCTTTTTTTCACCCTTTTAGGCGTCCCTCTGCTTTCCACTGAGGGGTTCTGACAGGCCTTTCTAATCAGACTTTGATCCATATACTGTCTCCCCTCAATCAGGCTTGTGGTCCAGCCTATTTTTCCTCTTCTGTGGTTCGCATGGGGGCACTGAGGCCCAGATGGGTTATTGTGCCACCATTTGGATGCCCTACTCTTTTCCATGCATTCATCTCATGCTTTCTTCCATTCATTCTACGGTCTAAGTGGGCTCTGAGCTGTGTGAGTTTGGTCACCCACTTAAGCTGTAAGAAGGGCCTCACTGCTGGAGACTCGTGATGAATGTTTTGAATACCTTTTGCAACACCCAATACCCTGGTCGGATCTATATTTACGATATAAACTAAAAAATTAGAAAGATACTTTAAACTTCAGCAAAGTTCCTTGGAAGATGTCGTTTTTAATATTTATCTTCTTCATTACCAAATTCCTATAAAATGAAAAAAAAATTAAGAATAAATAATACTCTATTTTTGGCAAGGGTAAAATTTTGTATCGTTTGTAGAACCATTTAGCTGCTAGATTTATGTGGATTGCAAGAAAATTTTAAAATTCTTAGTTAGTGCCTTGGAAAAAAACGTTGCTAATCATTGATCTAGCAGATATTTTAGTCATGGAAATGATTAAAAATCGATTGGTCAGTAAATGTTTATATCACCAGGTACTTTTAAACTTATTGAGATAATTCAATGCATTTTTCACCGGTCTTCTAATTTTTGTTTTTCTGTGTATTCCCTCTTTTTTGTTCGATTCTGGTTTAACCAGAAATAACAGCCTATTTACGAGAATGTGTCAAATTTAAAGACAGAATGGATCGTTTTTGTGAAAAGTTAACTATCAATGAAACACACATTACGTCACAGTTACAGTCAAAGGCCACCCAGATCAGTACTCATATTTTGGAGCAATAAAAATGATATTTGAAATTTATATATATTTACCATGATAAAAATTATAATTGTTATTTTTAACTTAATGTTATTAGGTACGGGAGTAATAATAATATCCCCAACGAGAGAATTATCCATGCAAACATTTGGTGTTCTGAAAGAATTAATGAAATACCACCACCACACTTACGGACTTGTTATGGGAGGCACTGCAAGGCAAACGGAAGCACAAAAGCTGTCTAAAGGCATTAACATTCTAGTTGCAACACCTGGTCGCCTTCTAGATCATTTACAAAACACTCCAGATTTTTTGTACAAAAATTTACAGTGTTTAGTTATTGATGAAGCTGATAGGATATTAGAAGTCGGTTTTGAAGAGGAGTTGAAGCAGATTATTAATATTTTGCCTAGTAAGTTAAACTTGTTAACCGACTTTAAAAAAGGAGGAGGTTATCAATTTGTCGGATTTTTTTAATGTATGTTTAACGCGTTGTGCGATTTCAATTGTCCTTTTTTTTTTTCTAAAGAGGGGTAGTCCCATATAAATTTGGTCAAAATCTAGTAATTGAGTCCATGAAAAAATCCCCAAACTCTTAATTTTTTATGTATGTTCAGTAGGGATAGAACGATACCGATACTGATATCGGTATATCGGCAGTTGTTGCCGATTATCGGTATCGTATCGGCAAAAAACATTTTTGGCGCTTTTCAGTGCATAAATGAAATACTTTGTTAATCAAAATAATTTTTTTTTATTCCAAAGGTAACTAAAAACGTTACCTTTTTTTTTATTCCAAATGTAACATTTTTACTAAAAAAGTAAAACAAAATAATCAGCAACCATTCTCTTTCTACCAGCGCCCGTTTCCGCTTCCATTTTATTTGAACTCTCCATTTAAATTGAATATTTTTATTTGATTTATTTTATCTCCTCTAATTAACAGTCAAGTTTAAAACGCCGTGTTTTAAAGCACTACAGAATATAAGAGGCTTCCCTCGAAATCCGAAATGTCACTACCAACCACAAACGTTTCCTCGCAACGAAATTATAAAACGGGACTTCCCCGGTTTTTGCTTCGGTCGTGTATAAATAGAAGGCGTTATGTTTGCCGATACGATATATCGGTACATCGGCACGTAAATATCGGTATCGGCCGATATATCGTATCGGCAAAAAAAAGTGATATCGTTCTATCACTAATGTTCAGCGATAATGCTTTACCACCTTGTCCGATTTCTATGATTCTTTTAACACCCTGTATCTCAGAAAAGAAAAGTTTTCGGGCCTATGTTTATATGAACTTTTACTCCTATTTTAGAATATAGATTACGCTGTTAAAATATGACCGTCTAATTTCGGGACACCCTGTATATATTTGTTGTGTATGAAATAGTTTAGATATTAGCTGGCCAGAAACCTATGGGACTATCCCAATGGAAAACATGGTGTATAACTGTCGCCACACTTAAAATTAATCACCCAATAAAAACGTTTTTTTTTTACTTTTCTGAAATCTTGTGACATTTGTTATATCAAGAATTATATTTTTGATTGAAGAGTGAATACTGTATTTTTTTAGAACGTAGGCAGACCATGTTGTTTAGTGCAACCCAGAACAAAAAAACTGATGCCCTGACATCTCTTGCACTTAAAAAGGAACCAGTATATGTTGGTGTCGATGATGCAAAAGATGAAGCCACAGTTTCTGGTTTGGAACAGGGTTATGTGGTGTGTCCATCTGACAAACGTCTCTTAGTGTTGTTCACGTTTCTGAAAAAGAACAGAAAGAAGAAAGTTATGGTATTTTTCAGCTCTTGTATGTCTGTGAAGTATCACCATGAGCTATTCAACTATATAGATTTACCAGTGATGTGTATTCATGTAAGTATATAATTTTTTCTTAATGCAAATTATTTTATGCATACCTACAGGTCGACATTTTAGTGAAGATGTCCTAGTTCACTTAATTGAAAGTCAAAAATTGACAGTCTATTCTGTGGGTTTTGAGACTAAAGCAAGCTTAACATCTATCAATTTCTTCAGGTTGAAAATGGTTTTATATTTGTGAATAAATTCATGAAGTTTTATGTAGTTTATGTCAGTTTACCAACACAATAACAAGAATTGTAAATCGCTACCTTCATTTCAATACCACGTATTAGAATTTTTTGACAAAATTAGTTAAAGACTGGTTCTGAGCCTATTGGGGACGCTCTATGTGGGTGGTGTTCATTTGAAGGAGAAAGTTACAAGTATACATACGCCCTCATAGACACCAGGCAACAAAATCAGATGTTACTCTCATCTGTCATACTGTTGTAAATAAATACTACACGTCTTCACGAATATTTTAGGTTTGGTTTTGTATATAAATAATAATAATAATAATAATAATCAAGCAAAAAGTGCACAAAATGGTTATAATTTATTTATAAAACCATGATTGTTCTTGTACAAACATTGGACATTTAGTATTTCATGAAAAAAAATTAAATGTTTAGGGTAACAGTAAAACTACGTACAGAAGAGAAGAGTTGGTGAAATAAGTTCAAAAAACAAAAGTTCGATCAGAAAATTTTTCGATAGTACAAAAGTTCGTATGTAAAATGAAGAAAGATCGAAATTAGAACAAATGATCGAAATCGCATATGATCGAAATCACGTGTTTGAAAGTACTAATGAGCGAAATGATATACATTATGTTAAGTCGCATACAATTACGCCAGAAGAACGGTATAGAATAAGCGATATCATTGATTAGACAGGTAGATCAGTGTGCACCAGCCCACTGTTGTAGAAATGTATCCATCTGGTCAATCACGGCATGCAGGCAGTCGATTCACGAGAGTCTTCTTATTTTACTCATGTAAAAATATAATTGCATTTTATCTTTATTTCGAAGCATCCTTGGGTTAACATATTGTATGACTGAAATTATTTTTTTATAATTTATCTCGTGAATTAGGGAAAGTATTATTAGTTCACGTCCGTTCAATTTTTTTAGTGCCAAGTTTGTTAGTTTTAAGCTTTTAAGATTGAAAACACATAGAGCAACTTCGATATTGTTGCTATGTTTTTTAAACTTGATAGTTTAAAAATAACAATCTTAACAGTAAAAAAAATAGAACTGAGATAGTGGGATCATTACACAATGATTCCACTATATGTAGACTCTGCATGGAAGAGGAAAGAACCTCATACCATGTTATCTTCGAATGCGAAGGTCTTGCTAGGCGGCGACTCTACCTTTTCGACCTAGAACCGGAAAGAACGCCCCAGGAACACTTGGTAGGGAACGTTGTAAAACTAACCAAAGACATAGGACTATTCCAAAGCCAGTACCTAAATACGGGAAAACAGGGAAATACAATAGACCCAAGAGGATGCAGTGTTCTGGGCTAAATCTAATCATACCTGCTTTTAATCGATAAAGATAAAGAGATGGTAAAGTACTCAGATTGTTAAATCTAAATGTAAAATATATTAAAGATAATAGAAATATTTTCCTAGTATTCTAATAAAAAAACCTAAACTGATTAGCCTAACCTGTGCGGCCTAGGGCCATTGCGGGTTGCTTCTCAAAAATGCATAAGAGAAATTTAAAAAAATTCAACTAAGTTACCTAACCTGTGCGACCTGGAGCCATCGCGGGTTGCATCCGAAAAAAATTATACATAAAATAAAAAAAAAAAAATAAAAAGAAAACCAATTTACTAATTTTATAAAATAATGCTTTCGATCTTATACCGTTTTGAACATTAGTAATTTTAAACGTACATATGCAATTTCGATCATTTGTTATAATTTCGTTCTCTTTTGGTTTCGATCGTTTCTCACTTTCGGCTTTTTCAATTTCAAACTGTAGGGCCCATATTTATAAACAGATCTCAGCTGAGTCGGACTTGGGTGAGTCGTCCTTGAACGAAAATCGAAGTTCGGTTACAACTTCTGTAAAGATCCAGTTGGTTCCGGTTTTACACTAGAATTTAGAGATCGATAGTAGCAAATCTGTAACTGTTAAGTACCTACATTTACGGATTTATTACTACCCGTCTATAAATTTACGTGATATAACCGAACTTGGAGATGACGAAACCCAAATAATAACTACCTCTCCCCAAGTATGCAGTACACAAATAAATTATTAATTATTTAATTTTGGAAAATAAATAAAACCATTAGAAAATAGCGAATGTCGTGAAAGGTTTTGAAAATATACAAAAGTTTATAAAAATAAAATAATGTTTGAAAATAATTAAAATTCCCACAATGGGGTACTTATCGTTCTGTTGTTAATGATGATGGTCGGAAATCACCCTTAAGTTGTACTGGAAAACATATTTCAAGTTTGGATCCGTATTAATAATTCATCTGATGTTAGAATAATTTCAGTTGATCCAAATCCATACAATAAAGCCTTATAAAAATCAATACATGGGATAATTAATTTCAAAGAAATATTCAAAAGATCTGCCCAAAGCAATCAACTTAATTTATTGAAATATTTCCGTACTGGTTGGAGAAGAATAATCTCGTTTAGCACAATACCAAAATTTTAATTCTTCGCTTATAGTGCCTTTACGATTTACGAATGTCTTTCAGTGATAAAGTGTTGGTAAAAACTGGCTATTCATTTAATTTTCACAAATGCGCTAGTTCAGTGATGATGTAATTATGGTTCCACTGACAATTAAAGTGACAGTAGATTTTTTGAGTGCGTTTTGTTCACCTAAATTATATCGTTTTTTTTTTTTCACTTTTATAAATATATTCCTAAAGTAAGTAGATAGCATGTATCAAATATACAATCGTTTAGTTACCAAATACATACTTTTAAACTATTTTTTAGGACCTGTAAACAATATTTTGAAATAAAATAAAAACAGTAAAAACGTATATGTCAAATTTATTGATGTTTTTGTTAAAAGTTTGGTTAGAATTAAATGTCAGTGGAACCAAAATGACATCACACTGAACTAGCGCATTGATATTAGTTATACCGAGTGTCCCTAATAATTAATGATATTAGAATATATTTCTGATAGAATATTTAAATTTATTAATGTGAAAATGTGGGATTATTATTAAACATTATTATTATTATTAAACATGTTACTTCGTAACAAGAAATACCGATACTAGATATAAACCTTGGAGTACAAAAAGTACCATTCGAGGTTTCATAAATGACTGGGTCCAGAGAAAACAGAGCAACTATTGGGAGAATGTTCCAAAACAAGCACATGCCAAGATATTTATTGGAAGACCATGTTCAGAAAGAACAGGAGAACTACTCTCCATGAATAGGAACCAATTGAAAACAATAACAGGACTCATGACCCTAGTAAAGGGACACCTGCACAAAATAGGCGTGTATACTGGAGACCTACTGTGTCGACTCTCACAAGAAACCAGAAACAGTCAAACACATACTGTGCAACTGCGAGGCATTGGATCGCAAAAGACAGGCACTTTTTGGATAACCACACGTTGATCCAAGAACCTATAGAACACGCCCTGTCAAGGACTTGTACAAGGAACTAAGGTAACAGAGTGTGGGCATTATGAATTAATATGGGCCAAATACAATAGGCCATTAGGCTTCAGTGTTGTCAGAGACATAAGTCAGATGAGGCCAGGTAAAAAAGCGTGTATTACCCAAAAACAAAAATATGCTTCTGATAAAAAATATTTCCAAATTTTTGAGGAAAAACCACATTAGTATAATATAAACATTTTCTTGGATAAGCAGATACCTTCATTTTCCAAATGTGAATTATGAGATGTATGTAATCATTTTATTTGAGGATGGACAATTGTCAAATGTACTATTAATAATTAATTTCACACTTATGCAATTTGTATTATTTTGTTTAAGTTTTTCATTGCTTTTTAATTGAACAAACTATAATATTTATAGGATAATAGATTTATTAAATTAATGTACGAAGGCCGTTCTCTATTTAAAAATTAATTCTGATGCCTTGGCAGGATTCCCCACTTGACCTTTCACTGTTGGGTTCTAATTAACAGTGCTGTTCCTAAAGTGGCGCTGGGAAACAGTAACAAAGCCTACACAGAATACGAGGCTAATGGCCTTAGTAGTCGATGCCGAGGACACCAAATTAAAAAAAAAATATATATAATAATTTTTTTAAATACTCTCCACAGTCAATGCATTTTTGCATTCGCGAAATCCATTCTTGAAAACATTTTCTCCAATTTTCTGTCCATATTTTGTTTAATTCATTTTTAAAGGCATCATCCACTTCTTCGGAAAACACCGTAATTTATTCTTTACCTGCGAAAATAAGAAGTCATTAGGTGCTAGGTCTGGACTATACGGCGAATGACCCATTATTTTCATGTTTTGGGCATTCAAATACCCATTTGTTCGAGCAGCAGTGTGAGCCTGAGCAATATCTTGATGCAAGATTATCTTTAACAGTTGGTCTATCATCCAGTGCTACAGTGGTGATAAATTTTGTTGGAGCTAGCTCATTCTCAAAGACTCAAACTGACGATTATTGCTTTTTTTTTTCGGGATCATAACCCATGTTTCATCACCTGTGATGATGTTGTGCTCCAAATTAGACGATCCATGATCAAAGGGATCTAGCTTAGATCTGCACCATCTCACACATTCATCTTTTTGTGCTAAAGTGAAGTTGTGGAAAATCCACCGAGAAAAAAGCTTATGGACTTTCAAATTTTTGTGTAAAATAATGTTAATTACTTTTACACCAATCTTTAAAGTTGTTTGAATGTTTCTGACAGTAATGTGCCGGTCCTCTTTGATCACGTTCCGAATAAGATCAATATTTTTTTCTGTAACTGCTGTATTTGGTTTAGGAACTTGAAAACTGTCATTTAAGGAAAGTTGACCACATTGAAATTTATTGTACCACCACTTTACGATAGCGAAGGAACACGACTTGTCACCAAGCACTCGATTGATTTCCTCAAAACATTCTTTACGGTTTAGGTCACGCTTAAAATTATAAAAAACAGCCAAAAAAATGCTCTTTGTTCATTTACATTACTATAAACTTATGTACCTTACAAACACTAAGATATATTTGACAACTATCACCAACTAAACTTTTAAACAACCAGATTAAAATAATTTTAGCGAAAAGGGATAATCCCTCATATTAAATTTTATATCTAACTGGATGTTTGGAACTTTTTCATGAAATATACATAACAATATATATACTTTCTCACCATCCTATGAGGCAAGTAATTTAATAATAAATGCTTTAATTCCAGGGCAAACAAAAACAGACCAAGCGTACCACGACATTTTTCCAGTTCTGTAATGCAGAAACAGGCACACTTTTATGTACAGATGTCGCTGCTAGAGGATTAGATATACCCGCCGTAGATTGGATTGTTCAGTTTGATCCACCAGATGACCCTAAAGAATACATTCACAGGTTCGACATAATATATAGAAAAATACTTTATTGAAGTAGAATAAACCTAATATTAAAAAAATATATAAATTCACTAGTTACATACTTAAAAAGTAAATATAATTATTATTCTTAATAGCGATAGAACGATATCACTTTTTTTGCCGATACGATATATTGGCCGATGCCAATATTTACGTGCCGATGTACCGATATATCGTATCGGCAAACATAACGCCTTCTATTTATACACGACCGAAGCAAAAACCGGAGAAGTCCCATTTTATAATTTAGTTGCGAGGAAACGTTTGTGATTGGTAGTGAGTGATATTTCGGATTTTGGGGGAAGCCTCTTATATTCGGTAGTGCTTTAAAACACGGCGTTTTAAACTTGACTGTTTTAATTAAAGGAGATAAAATAAATAATAAATAAAACTATTCTATTTAAATGGAGAGTTCAAATAAAATGGAAGCGGAAACGGGCGCTGGTAGAAAGAGAACGGTTGCTGATTATTTTGTTTTAGTTTTTTAGTAAAAATGTTATCTTTGGAATAAAAAAATTCTTTTGATTAACAAAAGTATTTCATTTATGCACTGAAAAGAGTGAAAAGCGCAAATTTTTTTTTTGCCGATACGATACAACTGCTGATATACCGATATTAATATTGGTATCGTTCTATCCCTAATTCTTAACATAATCTGAGTTAAAAGAAAAAAACATTCGTTACACATTAAAAAGATACTTTCAGTCTTGAGTTTAGACAGTCTCAATTAACAATAAAACAAATAATAGTTGAAAGTATGAACAAAAATATTAAAAAAAGAAAAGTAAAAAAGGTTAAAATCAAATTTTATCAGTTTTAATAAAAGTACTTAGTTTTTTATTTATTTAAATTTAGATAGATTTCTCTGAGAAGTGAACCGAAAAATTTGTATACCTAGTTTCCTTTTACTATTCAATTCCCGGGGCAATTTCTTTAAAATAATTTGTCAATTCTTTAATAATTCCTCAGCAATTCATCTGAAATTCTTTAGCAATTTCTACAATTCTCCCACAATTCCCGTGATTATCTGTCAATTCATACAATTTCCGGCAATTTCAACAATTTATCCCAATTCCTTGAAACCTGTAAATTCCTCGCATTCAATAGTTTTGAATCATATCAACAGTCGTACAAACTCATTCCAAAACCTTGATAAGTTTTAGATAAGATATAATTTTTTTTTTTTAGAGTTGGAAGAACAGCTAGAGGTGAAGGGAGCAGTGGACATGCTCTACTTATTTTAAGACCAGAAGAACTAGGTTTTTTGAGATATTTGAAACAGTCTAAAGTGCCATTGAATGAGTTTGAATTCAGTTGGACTAAGATTGCCGATATTCAGCTACAGGTAAATACCAAATTTCAAAAATGCATTCATTTTTATGTTATTATTAAAGGTTATTTATTTATTTATTGAATCGATAGAAACAAAATTAACTCAACAGGCTATCGAGTAAGATTCTTCTGTCTATTTTGTATTAATCTTATTTTTTTTATTAATTTATTTAACGTCAGCCTATTTCTAACTACGAGGTTTAAACACAGACATAAAATGAGAAAAATTAAAAAGGAAACTTAACTAATTTACTTAACCTATGCGGTCTGGAGCCATTACAATTTTTCTAAACCAACTTTGAACTCCTATTTACAGAAATAAATCTAAATTTATTAAATAATTATACCACCTAAGTAAGTAAAACTGATGTATTTTTTTTTCTGAGAATTAATAAGCCGCCTGACCGGAACGGAACCGAGGTAGAGGATCATGACATTTAATAATTGCTAACTGCGATAAGACAAGTAAAGATTTGTTGACCAGAATCGGGAGCACCGAAAAAATTTTAATTGTTTTTTTTTTAACAAACTTTGAACCCATCTGACGTTATTAGCTTCACATTTTGTTTCTTGAATAAAAAAAGGTTATTCATATTCATTACAAAGATATTATTTTAAAATAATACCATATAATTTAATTTCCTTTGTGTCAGTAAGTAGCTCACCTTTACTCTTTTACACATTTTAAGGCTGATGAACACCAAATTAGTTGGGTTTTATTTCCTTAAAATTCGAATCGAAAGACTCCGGTCTATAGTCCTTTGGGAGTATCCAATAATTATATTTTCTTCTTCCTCAGAATTTTATTTTTTTGAAAAGAAAGTTGGTTAATTGTAATTTTAAAGTTGCTCCTTAATGCAGCACTACTGATAATTAGGTTTTTTGTACCACTGTTTGTACCTTATGATAAAGTCTCGGAATACCCCAAGTCCATTCGCTTTTTTTTTATTGTTTAAATGTAAAATGGATGAAACAAAAAGTTACTAGATTTTGGCACGTCGTAAATTAATTACATCATGTTATTATGTCAGGTGGCAGTTATCAAATTAATTTTGAGTCAATTTGTATATTTTGATATTTCAAAAAGTTTTATAAGTATTCAACAAAATGGAGAAACGATTTAGTGATCAATCAAAAACTTTAATCTTAAACGTAGTTTCCTATTTTAAGAGACACAAATCTATTTGCGAGGCTCAAATGGTTGCAGTGGTATTCAATATTTCGCAGAAAACTATCTAAAGACTTAGTAAACCAAAAAATTCTGATACAAAGTATGTGAAAATAAAAATAAGCCAAAGTAAAACAAAAGTCAATTCTTTAATATTAAGTAAGTTGAGGTAAGCTATATATGATTTTCGGAAGAAATGCCTGATGTGAAATATTCCGCTCGGTAAATTAATACATTGATGCGAAAAATTGGGTTTCGCTTTAAAAGACAGACAGACAGTTTTTATTGAAACGAACATCGATTCAGTTAAAAAAAAATGTTTTGAAAAATTTTAACAAGGATATAGAGCTTGGTAGGTAACTTTAAGCCTGTATTTATGGATGAGACGTGGGTATATAGCAAGGGAAGTGACATAAAAAGTTGGCAAGATGGAACGGTGGCTACTGCAAGTAAAAAACAAAAACAGAATTCGATACATAATTGAATCGGTGAGTTCGAGAACCGTACATGTCCAAAATCTGCCTTCCAAGAAAAACAATAGAACACTTTTAACGTTGAAACTATTCGGCATAGACTATTTTTATGCACAGAAAAGTTTTAGATCTCGTGATTTGCAATGTATTTTTAATGTGCATGTCCCATCTTCCTTGGTAGCGGTCCTCCATAACTTTAATATCTTGGTGAAATCTTTCACCTTGTTCCTCACTCATGTCTCCTAAATTTTCTGGAAAACGATCTAAGTGATTGTGTAAATAGTGTATTTTAATACTCATATTGCACCCTAAGGATTTGAAACTACTAAGCATCTTGTTAACCATTTCAACATAGTTTGGAGCTTTATGTTTGTCTAGAAAATTTTCTACAACTGCAACAAATTATGTCCAAGCTTCTCGTTCAACTTGATTCATTGAATTTATGAAGGCAGGATAATTGTCTTATTTGTAGGCCGTCAAATATCCCTGATTTAAGTTTTTCTGTGCTCAACTGATGCATTTTTACCCCTATATATGCAAAATATGACCCATTAATCTTATCAAGAGCCTTTACAAATTGCTTCATTAAGCCCAACTTTATATGTAACGGAGGAAGTATGATTTTTTCTCTTTCAACCAAAGCGTTGTTGATGACATTCTTTTCCCCAACGTCCATGTTTTTTCTTTGAGGCCAATCTTTGCTAACCCAGTGGTGTGTTTTGTCCCTACTATTCCAGAGGCACAAGAAACACGGATATTTCGTGTAACCACTTTGCTGCCCAAGAAGAAAGTTTACCTTTTTTAAGTCTACACAAATCATCCATTGATGTTCGTGATACTTTATCTTCTGCAAGACCAAAGCTACGGTATTATATTCTTCTTTCAGTTTCGTTGAGTGAGCTAGTGGTATTGAACCATATTTAATAATATTTATTCCCATTATGTAGAAGGACACATTTTAAACTTCGCTTTGAACTGTCAATAAATAGGCGCCAATCATCTGGAATATATTCAGAAAATCCCATTTCTTTCATGAGTCCATTAATTTCGTGACAAAATACAAGATTGTCTTCTTGAGAAAAGAATGGTAGCAGATACTTTTCTCTTGTACGGTAAAAGGTAATTTTGGTTCCTTGTTCCAATAAATTTTTGTCGTTCAACCTAGAAGCCAGTACTTCAGAAGCTTTTTTCGATAAATTGAGATCCCTGGTGAGATCATTTAATTCATTTTGATTGAAGCGCTGAGGAACTGATGACGTCTCCTCATAGTCACTGTTAGTTTCATTAGCATCAGAACTTTTATTAGCGTCAGAATAGCGATCAGAGGGAAAATATTCGTCATCAGAGATATCTGGTAGCTGATGAAATGTTGGAATCGGTATTTCATCTGAGTGCGGGATAGGGCGTATTGCCGAGTCTACATTGGGCTAAGTCCACTTACTGTGGTTATTTCGATTTATTCCTTTAGTACTTACTAAATAGAAATAACAATCATTGAAGTGGTTTTTTAGTTCTCTCCAAACCATTGGTACGCCGAATTTTAGAAATTTTTCGTTTCCCGGTAGTCCACTGCCGTAAATGCTCTATACAAGTTTTATACACGAGATGCGGGGCCCACTTTTTGTCCTGATCACCAAGGTTAACTCCAAAATATCCAAGATACGCTCGCTTTACAAAGTCAGTAATAGTTTGTCTGTTTTGTTGAAATATGTATTCTCTGCATATATAGCAAAACACATCAGGTTGATTTACACAACTTCTTCTTGAACTGGAACCTGAACTCATTTTAATTCTGTTCAATAACACAAAAACACTCTTTTCTTAACATAAAATAACACGCCGAATTCGATCTACTCTCATTAGTAAGAACGCACAAACTGACGAGACTTATCTGAGTTAGGGGATTAAAAGGGTCAGTTCAGGTACCTGATAGGCAATGGTTCCACTATTTATAGATTTACCTGGAATTTACTCAATTACAGACTGACAATAAAACCATTGTACCTATATTAATGAATATATAATAATTTTAGAACTCTCATAAATGAATATACTGAATAAAAACCACATTGGTAGATAAGTTGATGTATCTAAAAAAGTAGAGCTGATAGAGAAAAATGGATTGCATGTACAGATTTAGCGTCCCAAATATAGTTAAAATGAGCTCTAAAATCCCAGGCATAAATTTTTTCAAAGTGACGTCTTGTATTCGTGTAAACGCACCTTAATAAAGTTACACTGCTGAGCAACAACAAATCGCAACTAAAATAAGAAGACACATGCAAACTGTAACAAAAAATGCGATACTCTTTTGTCAGAGGACTTGGGGTATTTCTATCACTTGAAGATTATTCAAATTGACGCTGTCAGAAAGAGTCAGTGAGTGTCAAAACTAGCGCTACAAAACTTGTATATGTTACTTGAATACGTTAATGAAAAACGGGGGATATGCCCCTTCGAGAGAAGTAGATGTTGAAGTCACAATGTAGCGCGGGGCATCGGGTAAGAGTCTCTCTAAATAAGTATTTGCTTGGAGGTCTCAAATGCAAAAAGCATACCTGCTGCTGAAGGTTAGATAGGAACATTCATGAGATGAAAAACCACACAAAAACTTCATATGAGAAATTTGTCCGTTTTGCTAAAAATGCGAGAAAAAATCTCATATAGCAAGTATGGCAGGATCAATCCCGACGAGTGGGGGGAGGGGGACAAAATCCCCGGGGCCTGGGCACAAGGGGAGCCCGGCAGCTTTAGCTGAGAACTTTTTTTTAGAAGTTCGCCACAAGAGGGAGGACCTTTTTTTGTTTAGATTTCACAAAGAAAGGACTTTATTTTTTATAAAAATGCCTCGCTATTCCCTTTCGAAAATCTGCCATATAAGGGGCCCTTGCCAGTGTTTTGCCCCGGGACCCCATCATGGCTCTCGGCGGCCCTGGGCAGGGTTAAGCTAAATAACGTGTCAGTTTCCATTCTACATGATGATAAAGTGAATTTCATAAATACGTACACTTTATTTCGATAAATCATTGGCGTAGAATCAGATGCTAAGAAAATAATTTTGTTCCAAACTTTTTTAACTCCCATTTATAGTATGGGATTGGGACCTCCAGGACCTACCGATAAAGACGGAGAAGGGTCTACCTATCAATTTTTTTAATTGGCCGATTCCTTGAAGATCAAAAAAAATACCTATGCTTTTTCCGAGGATTTCTTCGCATTTGTTGTTCTCAAGGGTGGGCCCACTGCCTGAACGAGGGCCCACAGCTTGAACGAAGGCCTACCGGTCTTTGGACCGGAAGACCGACGGCCCAATCCGACACTGGTAAAAAGTAATAAAAAGTTTCGAGTTTCTACTTTCTAATAATAAAATAGCTGTTGAGAAATTGGCTATTATTTACTTGATAATTCCTAATATAAGTAAAAATTAGTAAAGTTAAAACAAAGAGGACACCTGTCTATGATATTCTCTTCGTTCATACGTCATTCCCTTCCCCACTCCTTCGTCAGTCTAACCAATATAATTTAAATAGGGAAATTACCAAGTGAAATATGAATATTTATTGCATTACTTTTAATTTCACTGTCCTTTAGCTGGATAAAAAACTGTTACGTATTGTAAACTGTTACGCCTATTTGTCTGTACATAACAGATTTGTATTCCACTAGAGGATACTAAAATCAAAAGTAATGCAATATTTCATACTTGGTACTTTCCCTATATGACAGTTGATGATATGATAGATATGTTTTTCCTTTGGAATAAAAACCGACATGTTCTTGGATTTTTTTCAAAACAAATTCTACTTCAAACTCAGATGCAGCCACTAAAGGCGTTTAATCAGACAACCATATTAATACATTATTTATTTTAGCTGGAAAATTTAATCGGCAAAAACTACTTTTTGAACACGTCAGCCAAGGAAGCCTTTAAAGCATACGTCAGGGCATACGACTCACATCATTTGAAAACTATTTTTGATGTTGGTACTTTAGATTTAGCAAAAGTTGCTCTTTCATTTGGTTTTAAAGTCCCTCCTGCAGTTGATTTGAAAGTATCAGCAAAAAAAGCTGAGCGACCAGATAAAAAAAGAACAGGTGGCGGTGGTTTTGGATTTTATAAAAATATGAATAGTATGGGGTCTAAAGAATTCAAGAAAAACACCGTTTACAGGCAACCAAAACCTAAAAACAGAGGTGGACCTGAAAGGAGGCAGTTTAGCAGATGAGAATTCTATTTTTGAATTTTGTATAAGCATAAAAACATGAATAAATTTGTTATTTTTTACAAGTGTTTTTTTTTTCAAGTATGCTGAAATAGTTAATATTATCTAGGACGAAAAGTTGAATTTTTCGTGTGACTACGAGGCGTCATACCTTCTTTTTTACTCGAATGTGCTTATATATATTAAAAAAACGCAGCATCGTAAAGCGGCAACAACCTTCCCATCTTAAACCACCTCTAATTCGAAAATTTAAATCTTAAAATGCAAATTTTTGTTTACGCCTTTATATCTGATAACTTTCCACCATGGAGTTAAAAGGCAGGGAGATGCTATAAGCGTCTTTTTCAAACAGTCAAAATGGTATCACTGGGCGTGGCTTATGTAGACTCAATATGGCCGATCCGCTAGAACCGGACTATTGGGAATGCAACTTAAATTTACATTTTTCTTTTTTTTTTTAGGAAATGTACGTTATATTTATTGTTTGTTCAAAAACGGTTGGTTGATTAAGTGTATAATAACTGATTTTCAGTAATTCCACTTATTAACAAAATAAGTGTCATGGAATAAAAAATGTGTGTTATATAGTATTTTATATTACAAAGTCTACAAATTTAATTTTGAAATATCATGGTTTAATGTAACCGTTGTTAGACCGTAACTGATCCGACATAAAATAATCAAACAGTTGTTAAATAGGTAGGTTACTATCACATTTTTTATTTTATTTTTAATGAGGTAAAACATCCTGTTTGTATATTTGTTAGCTGCAGCTTTAATTAACAGTACTCTATTACAAGGAAAGATGGGATGAAACCAGAAACTGCAGAGTTGCCAGGGAGCTTTTAAGTTATCCTGACAACACTACATCAAACAAATACATAACTAGACAGAATATGTGCCTGATCACAGGCATTCTGCCTAGTCATTAACAATTACAGAAGCATCTCCGTATCATGGGGCTGTCAACACTTTTTCAAAATTTAAATATTTCAGCGTTAATTCTGTCCTAGTCAGTTTTTTATTATTTTGCATAAAAATCATGACCAAGTGTACTAAACTTAATTATAAAAGATATAAATTGAAAAAAGAAAACGGAAGAAAAGGTTTGATTCAAGTTTTCACAAGTAAGTTTGAGGACCGTACTTAGTATTTTTTCATAATTCCTAATTTCTTGCTTGTTAAAATCCTATAGTACACTTTTTTCGGTAGTGCTCAACAAATATAGATGAACAGTTGTTTAAATGTAAGATAATCGATTTGTAGATTGTTAATTTTGACTATTCTTTAAGGTATGTACTCATTATTTTCATATACCTCCATGATTCACACACGGGTGGAGAGTAGATTCTTATTCCTACACGTGTGATATAGGGCACTTCCCATAAGACTAAATAGTGCGATACGTGTCACTTTCCTAAGTGGTCGTAGGAAAACTTGTTAATTAACATTGTTTTTATACCTAGATCCTAGATATTTATTTTTAATAAATTCAAAAAATTAATTTTAAAGTAACTACATTTTTTGTTTCTTTTTTTTTGTTAATATATATTTGATTATGATAATTCATGTGACATAAGCATGATTGCTACGTGAGTATTGAATTTTTGTAACAAAAGATAATAATATAATAGGTCTTAAAATTACCAAGTCATGGATGAGTTGCCAACAATGCTAAAAAACATCAAAAACCAAATTTTAAGTTTTTATGACAAACGAAACGAATACAACTTGTAAAATAACATGTTAGTTACCTACTTATATTTAAATTAATATTCGTAACTAAGTAATCAAGTAATCATTTTTCAATGTTTTCATCTAATAAATTGGTTCTCTTATTCGCATAAATTAGGCCAGCGACACCGAAGAGCTGTTTGGCACACAGCAAAGAAGTTTGTATGCACTGTGCAGGAATGGTACGCGAGATGTTCGTCATTGTGCCGCACGCCGTCAAGCGTGATGCGTAAACTTTTGATAGTAGTTTCGGCCAGATTTCCGCCGATATCAAAACTATATCCGAAACTCTTAGTTTAGACCGTAAGGGCACTTGGGCACGTGCCCTAGTATAATAAACAAAAAAAAAATAACTTACATATTTTATATTTTCCTCAATGCCTATTATTATTTTATCTAATATTCAGCGCAAACCTCGTTGGCACGACACTGAACGACCGGGCGTTGAGCGACGTTCCGAGAATTCCGAAAGAAGATGGGCACAGGGCACAGTAAATGTGTGCCTCTGTTGTTTTCTCTCTCATTATGAAGCGAAAAACAAGGACAACGACAATATCGCTTAGCAAGAGATGAACACATGCGATGGATTATACGTCACAAGCGGCGCTGTCCTAGACCAGATATGAATGTACGCAGAGGCATCTTTACCGGCTCCCTCACAAAGGTGCGCGTTTGTTGGACCATGATAATAATTTATTTATTGTGATTACGAAAAAACGTTAGTTGGACCATTGGAATAGTTAAGAAATAAAACTACAAAGAAAAATAACTTTTTTTTATAAAGCAGTCAAAAATATGATGAAAAAAAATCAATAATATTTATAAATGGGACAAAATTTTTATTTTTTTCGAGGATTTCAAATATCTGATTGCATATTTAAGAGTATAAAAAATTCTGAGTCTTATAAATAATTTAATGGTATACATTGTCGCAAATTGTTGGCAAGGATGACCAAATTCTATTTTGCTCATCTCAAAAAGGTATGCGTTAGAAATTCCAGGTTTAGTTGACAAACTATCAAATAGAGATATAAATATTTTTTCTAATTTGAATATATAAAAGAGAAATTTTTCGCTGGGAGATTTTAAATTGCCAAACACCTTTTCATCAGAGTCGTATGCTTTAAAATGCGTTAACAAGTTAGAATTGTTAAGTAAATTGCATTCTTCTGAGAAATTTACGCAAATTTCGCAAAAGTGGATATGTAATGATTTTTTGATTAAATAGCCACATACATAGTTATACGCATTTTGAGTGGTCACATTTAGCTCCTTGTGGTCACATTCAGAAATCGTTATTGCCCCAACTATATTTTGAAATATATTTAATTTTCATTAAGCGGAGAACTTGTTTTCCTAAGGGAAAAACGAATCCCGGGATTCCTTTCCAGTGTGTGCCCCACTGCCGCTAGTGCTCACGAGCCGCCACTGTCGAAACCTAATCTTTGGTCGGACACTAACTTTAGTTAATATTTCTGCTATTCATTTTATACTATTTTCCACTTTTCCTGAACAATAGTGTAAGTAGATACGTAGGTAATCATCTTCATTCTTCATCTTTAATAATAAAAAATAAGTTCTTGTTCACGATTGTTCATCTTATTCTATATTGTATTTAATCAATAAATTAATGAAAAACATTATCGTTATTAATGTTATTTTACCTTTATCATCCAGTGAAAGTGTTTGTTAATGGAATCACAATGATTTTTAATTTCGATAAAATATCATCCGTAAATTACTATACAAATTATTCAATAAGACACATAAAAAATCTGAAACCTCTATAACCAGAGTTTCCGGTATCACATTTTTTTGATGAAGTTATTTTGTGGTCGTATGGGCCCAGGCCACAGAAGTATTCTTTTTCTACACCCGTATTATAATAATGCACTTATATGCCCATAATCCGTTTCATAATGATACCCATTATGATACAGATTTTTCATTACGATACAGATTTTTAATCAATAGAAACCTACAATTTTTCAATCAAGCATGCTGTTTGACGTTTGTCCTAGGTTCCTATGTAATTATTTTAGTTGTCAAAACGTATTAAATTTTCGTAGGTAGCTAAACTTCGATAATTATAATATTAAAATGTCTGATATTAGCGATATAGAAGACTCCTCCACACATATCGGAGAAAGCAGAAAATACAGTACAAAATATTTTACCGCAAAAATCTAGGGAAATACCAATACCTGAAGTAATACCATTAATTACAATTTTGTAGAATTTTTTATAGAAATACGAGTAATTACTGTTATTGTGTTCAATATAAATATAATATTTATAGGTCTTAATTATTTATCGGGTGTAGAAAAAATAGCGTATGCAACTCTCATGTAATGGTTATTACATGATCGTTGCATAATATACTATTAAACTTCTGTCACAGCTTATACAATACAGCTCCACAACTCCGTGTCGGCGTCTTTGATCTGGCGGTCGAGAACCAAGCAAGACGGAATGGTGCTATCTCTGTTAGATTAAAGGGAAAAGTCGGGCCCGGATTAAGCAATTTTTTTATTATTGAAAAAATTGAAAACCTTGACGTAATAAGGTTGGTTACATGCAAAGAGGTTAGAAAGGGTAGAGGTAACATAGGAAGCATTTGTCGCTGCGCAAATTTTGCCAAAACCGAAAAACTGGGTGGAAGGAGTAGGGAGATGTTCTGTGCCGGACTTAAATATTTGTATTGTAGTACCTAATTTTGGTAGGTAACTAAAAGATGAAACATTATGAGACGTTTTTTTGACTTTATTTGTTAGCACGATTCATGTATCAATATATAACTAGCTAAGGGCCGATTCCACCGTTGTGTCAAACGAAGTTTAAATTATTAAACGAAGATTAAAATGACATTGTTAATGTAAAAATGTCATTTTAAACTCCATTTAGTAATTTAAACTTCGTTTTTGTTAATATAAAAATATAATTTTAAGCTTCGTTTAACAAAACGGTGAAATGGACCATAAGTAAAAGTTTATAAAATTATTGCAACAAAATAGCTGTTGAGACAAAAAGTTATCGAAATAGCCAAAGTACTTTTTGCTCGTTTTACACAGAAGATTTTTTCTACGATCACACCAAAATAAAATAAATAATTAAATTTTATTAGAAATGGCTTACTTTTTCGTTCGTGATAATATTTTGAGTTTATTTGACATAAGCCTTCTCTTCAAAGAGAAAAAAATGAAAAAAAAATTCACCATCATTCTTCTGTAGGTACTTCCAATCAAATATTTTAGAAAATTGTTGTATTTGATTGCCCTACGACGTTTTTTTTTTTCAATAGTAATAATAAAAATAAGGGACATGTGCAGTGTTGCCGGTCTAACTTTTGACATTACCCGCGAGAAATTTGAAAAAAAAAACATTTTTACCCATTATTCTTAAAGGAGTACGTCAAAATTTTACCCCCAACATTTCTGGGCAGTTTTCAATAACGGTGTTATTCTAAATATAAAACGCAATTTACAGCTTTTCTTTTTTTGTTTTCTTTTTTGTTGTTGAACGTAATGTCATATTTTCAAATATGAAATGTCACTATTCATTGCCTTTTTTTCGATATTTTGTTTTTTGGATTTTTTGATTTTTCGATTACTCGATTTCTCGACTTCTCATTTTCTCGATTTCACGATTTTTCAACTTAAAAACCAAAAAAGAGGCAGTTTTATTTATTTTCATTTCGTAACTGGTGACAATCAACTTTTCGTAATCAGTTGCATAATGTTCTACTTTATGCAACTGTTCTACTTTATGCAACTGGTTGCATAAAGTAGATCGTTTCGACACTCGCTGCGATTACAAAATATATTACTTTTTCTACACCCGTATTATAATAATGCACTTATATGCCCATAATCCGTTTCATAATGATACCCATTATGATACAGATTTTTCATTACGATACAGATTTTTAATCAATAGAAACCTACAATTTTTCAATCAAGCATGCTGTTTGACGTTTGTCCTAGGTTCCTATGTAATTATTTTAGTTGTCAAAACGTATTAAATTTTCGTAGGTAGCTAAACTTCGATAATTATAATATTAAAATGTCTGATATTAGCGATATAGAAGACTCCTCCACACATATCGGAGAAAGCAGAAAATACAGTACAAAATATTTTACCGCAAAAATCTAGGGAAATACCAATACCTGAAGTAATACCATTAATTACAATTTTGTAGAATTTTTTATAGAAATACGAGTAATTACTGTTATTGTGTTCAATACCAATATAAATATAATATTTATAGGTCTTGATTATTTATCGGGTGTAGAAAAAATAGCGTATGCAACTCTCATGTAATGGTTATTAAAACACTCGCATAAACCATACGAAACTCGCCTTTGGCTCGTTTCGTATCCCGGTTAATGCTCGTGTATTAATAACCATCATTACATGATCGTTGCATAATATACTATTATGTGTCAAAATTAGAGAAAATAACAGAATGTAAATTAAATGGATAGATCCCATATTATTATAGAGCAGTGTTTCTCAAACTTTTTTGACGACGGAACCTTTTTGAAAAGCGAAATATTTGACGGAGCCCTAAACACATAAAACCACAAAATATAAAAAAATTATTTTAATTTTTTTTTTATTTTGACTTTCAATAGGTAAACATGATAAAAAATCGGCTTTATATTATGCTCCGATTTCACATATTCAATTTTATAATTGTAATTTGACAATATTACTGCCCATCTACGTAGTCTGTTGGCTGAAAATTGGGGTATACATTTAGCTGGGTTAAAAATAGTTACCAGAGGTAAGTGATCTGTAACTAGCATAAAGAAGTCCATATAAATATTCATTAAATTTATTTAAGCCAAAAATTATTGCAAGGACCTCTCTTTCAATTTGGGAATATTTTTGTTCGGACTTTGATAAGGTACGCGAAGCAGAAGCTATAATTTCTCAATGTTTTTTTTTTAAAACATGATATATCATGGCACTTATTCCCACATTTGATGCATCTACGAATAATTTGATCGGCAACTCAGGCTGAAAATGCACAAGAACATCATTTGTTGTTAATTTATTTTTGATTTATTCCAAAGATTCCTTGCAAGAATTTTCACAATCTATTTCACCCATAAAAAATAAAATAAAAAGAAGCTCCTAAAAAAATATTATATCCTCCTTCCTCTTAGTGACTTAAAATACTTCTCAAAAAATGTCCTCTAGCCAGGTCCCTCCATTTTGTGGCGCTAGTACTGTTTTTTTTTATTGTGATTATTTTCTTCGCGGAGCCCTCACAAAGGCTTTGCGGAGCCCCAGGGCTCCGCGGAGCACACTTTGAGTAACACTGTTATAGAGAATTACTAAATAGTTTTAAGAAAACTATTGGCAATGAAATTGATATTTTTGTATTTGATTGTATGTTTCTCTTTTTACTTCCTAAAAAAAGATTCCCCATGAAACAAGAAATAGTAAACAGTTTATAATAATAACCTTTATTGGCTACTTATAACATGTACCAATGACCAAGTCCGATTCTGTTTATTTTAAATCAACAAATATGGACGACGACAGAAGCCTTAAAAATTAAATATCTCACCGAAATAAATGTAAGTTTCTTTTATCTCAGTCACATTTAGCAGGTTTATTATAAATAAAGCTTTTTACAACACATCTTGGCATTTTCAACGTTAATTTCCAAAATTTAAGTCACTAAAATACCAAATTAATTCTCGTTGACACATTAAATTTGGATGGACAACGCTCTGACATGTGATGTTCTCAACTGTGATTGGTGGGTGTGTATAATTTCGAAATGGGATTATGCGCAGTGTCTTATGTTCCATCTAAGGTTTGTATAATCTAAGGTTACATGCCATGTTAAGTAAGTTTTGGGAAATTAAATTTTTAATTTGTTTTAAATCTGTCAAATATAATTAAAAAAATTATTTAAATATAAATATTACGAAAAATAGCACATCTTTCGGATTAGAGGTAAAATAATTTGTATGTGGCTAGTAAAATCCTCGTTAACAAATGTTTTGAGCTAAAACAGTCACTTCACGACAAATTGTGACTTGGATCCTTTTTACACCAAGGGCTTCAATTGTTAAAGAAATGTGTCACGCTCGTGGATGCAAATCAAGTGGTACCCCTTGTATCTGGCAAGTGTTACTCTTCGCGCAAAGGGTTTATACCTAGATGAACGAATGCTTCGACTGAGGTCTGGGAACTCTATGGTATTTTGGAATTATAAAGAATTTGTGCTTTTATTTTAACAATATTGGTTATATTTAGATGTATTCTTATTAATTGAAATACAGTTTTGTAGAAGTAATACTTTAACAGTTTTTATTAATATAATATATTCAATTTTTATCTGACCATACCGAAGTAGGGAATTTTGAAACTTTATAGTAATGTGAAATTTGAATTACAATATTACACGATATTACATAATTAGTACTTATTTTAGGTAGGTACTAAATTTGTACTTGGAGAAAGTAATATCGATTTTTACAAGAAAACTTGAAAAGTAATTTTATTTAGTTCTTATTTCTGATGTAAAACTTAAACCAAGAAAACAAATAAATTGTAGTTTGTTCAACAAGGGTGGATATGATAGCCATATCACACAAAGACGAAGTTTGAGCACGACGTCGTAGGCGGAGTACTCAATCGTCTGATTGTGATATGATCAATCCACTCGATATGGTCAGTATATTTTTTCTACGACCCACTAACGAAAATCTACAAATTTAAAAAATTATTTTAGGTTATTTAGACAAAATAACTAATTTTAAAATAATTTATCGAAACTTATAGGATTTTAGTTTTAATACTCGTAATTAAATTAGTATCATATAGATTGATTGAAATTTATTTTTTTTTCATTTTTTAAGTGTTTTCACTACCTAAAATGGATATGAAATATATTCATTTAGTTGAGCATACTTTTTCGTTTTTTAGTCTATGCGTAGATTAGCTAATATTTATGTGGGCGTAGAAAAATTATTTTGAACAGGGTCAAATATACTACTTAAGGTTTATTTGACACGGATATCAATTCTTTGAAGGTTTAAATGCACAGTGTTTGCAAATCGTTTTATGCTTCAGGTCTGCATCATTCTTTAATTTCAAAAAAAAATTAATTGTTTGGCAACACTGTAATATTTTTTAATACATTCTACGGTTAAATACAGTATTACCAAACCATTCTAAAAATAAAATAAAGGGTGTCCCATTTAAAAAACATACATTTTGATTTGTTAGGCAAAAATATTTTTAAAACATGTATTTTTCAAATCCATATAACTTATATTTAAAACTTTTTTGCGTGTCTACAACACAAATTGAAATATTGAACAATTATACACTAATGGGACACCCTGTATAAATTATATAATTAACAAAAATAATTTCTTATAATGTGGTACTTTCCGGTTTGGCTCCTTGGAAAAGCGAAAGAATATTTTCTTGCAGGTATAACCCTTATTAAAACAGCTTTTGACTGCACAAAGAGAATGATGTCTTTTTTTTCACTCATTCTACTCACAGCTAAAGAGTCATCAAAATAATAACAGTACCTTTAACTTAACACAACAGAGAGCTCAAACAAAATCAACGAAATTATAGGCTCACCGAAATTATGCAATTAACGCACGGCTCAATACCTTACCTAAGTACGCTTCTGAACGCCAAAGCCGTCTTTTCCGCCCGAAGGCGGAGCTTAAGCGATGCGCGACGGAATCGACGCAAACCGTTGCCGCCAAAGAGAGTGTTTTAGCTGTATTGTATAAGCTGTGCATAGGTGTCTTACTGAATTGGTTAAAATAGAATAGAGTTATTTTAAATGATTGGTTTTTGTTAGAGGTGGTCGATATATCAATACCGGTTACTTTTCACCGGTGATTTGAAAATCACTGGCGCTACCGGTGATTGAGTTTTATTGTTGACAGGAATGACAGGTACTTACCATTGATTTTAACTCAGTCAGTGAAACGCGTTTAACGATAATTTTTATTCGTTGAAATGGTGAATCTGTGCGGGCGCTATTCACCAATAACCATAGCATTTAAAAAAATCGCCTGGATCGTGATCTCTTGATCTTACCACCGTAATTAGCGACCATCGACGAAGTGTTAAATATTTTATTTATGTATTTATTTTGGGATGAAGTTTTTTGTTCTCCGCTTGGGTATTTTTCGCTGTCATATTCATTTGCTTACGCCCGTATGCACCGTACACGTTTAATCCAGATCAAGGGTTTAATCGCGTTTAGTACCATTTTTAACTATGGTACTAAACGCGATTAAGCCGTTGATCTGGATTAAACGTGTACGGTGCATACGGGCCTTAGATATTAATAAGTAAATACAGTTTTGAGAATGTCTCGACAATTAAAATTAAAGAGGATAAAGTTTAGTGGAATTTTGAACTTTGTATCCCTATTTTTAACGTGACATTTATCAAAAAAGTTTTCTTTTAAAACTACAAATTCAAATTAAAAGAAACATATGAAATCAAATCATCCTGTGTCCTTGGAAAAAAACACCAGTAACAAGTCGCAAAAAATTTGAGACAACTAAAACTTTTTTACTTTTAGGGAAAGAAGATATGTATAATATATTAAAAATATTCTTTCAAATCACAAAATATCTATATAAATTCCAAAACATGAAAACAAACATTAAAATATTAAAAAATATATGCGTTTATTTATATTGTTCTTTTATGAAAACAATTATTGATTTAAAAATTAATAATTTATATTGTATTGTGACGTCCCGACCCCCTGTCTCTGGGTTATTTGTTTTTATTCGTTGTTTTACTCTTTGAATGTTATTATTTACCTCACAAGTTTATTTTATTTTAAATTCTATACTTACTGTATTTGGCCTTTTTCCTCTAGTAGTAAAAATGATCGTCTAGTTAATTAATTGATCATTTATATACCCACGTTGTGATAATGTTAATTAAGGTAAACCAGAATTCGATGCAAAGTTGCAAATTGATAAATAAAACATACAAACTCATATTTAAACTCTTTTTTATTTTTCATACTTTAAATGTGATGCAATAATTAGCAAATTATATTACAATTGTTACTATTTACTGAGATCTCACTTGAGTCCCGTTCAAACGCAGACCATATTAATTTGCTATCAATATATATTTTACTTAGGTTGATGACCAACAGAGTTAACGAACAGCGTCAATTCGCCAGTTGATTAACTATAGTGTTGTTGTTTATATTCTGATTTAGGTTGATGACCAACAGAGTTAACGAACATCGCCAATTCGCCAGTTGGTTAACTATTGTGTTGTTTATATTCTTATCT